ATGTTGTATCCCTTAATAGTTTAGTCGTGTATCCTGGGGTGCATGTGACGACTGGCTTGCGTGTCAGTCCACGACAACACCCTCAAGCAAGAGTGTATACCTACGCTTTCTATATCGCTACGGATTACACGCAAGTGCTGGTTCTCTGCGCTACGGTTTAGAAATAGGGCATTCCTGGCGTGTGTACGCTTCTTTAGCTTCGTTATTGGAGAAATGAGTTGTTTTCTGTGGTCGATGTGGGTGCCGGACAGGTTGCAATAACTATCACTGGCAGTCTATGAAATAACTTTAGCGCCAAACTATTTATGATTGTGAACCCAATGGTTGTTTAGGACATGTGGATATACCTACTGGTTTGGTAGGGCATGTGGATATACCTACTGGTTTGGTAGTGCATGTGGGTTTACCTACTGGTTTGGTAGTGCATGTGGGTATACCTACTGGTTTGGTAGTGCATGTGGATATACCTACTAGTTTTGTAGTGCATGTGGATATACCTACTGGTTTTTCAGTGCATGCGGATATACCTACTGGTTATGTAGTGCATGTTGATATACCTACTGGTTTTGTACTGCATCTGGATATACTTACTGGTTTTGTAGGGCGTGTGGATATACCTACTGGTTTGGTAGTGCATGTGGTTATACCTACTGGCTTGGTAGTGCATGTGGATTTACCTACTGGTTTGGTAGTGCATGTGGATATACCTACTGGATTGGTAGTGCTTGGAATGAATATCACCTAGGACCTGCGTTCCCCTGTACGGCCTTTGGCACCATTGGTTTGTATTGATATGTGTTGAGCCTGTGGTCCAGCTCCAACCACACGGGGAATTGGTTTCATGACAACACTCGTCTGATGGTAGTAGACTCTGGTCACACCGTGCAGTAGCATATGCATCATAACCACAATACTATAGGAAAATGGATCGGAGAGTAGCTTTCTTTATTGCTGTCTCTGAGATACCACATGCCTTAACAAGTAGTTTGAGGTGCAGTTGTCGCCGTTGCTGTCTCTGAGTTGCCATATCCCTTAACAAGTACTTGGAATACACCATGCACAGTCGATGCGAGTATCCCCACCCTGCAGGCGACCGCTGGCAGTGGCGTAGACCCGCTCGGATTGCGTCAATACAAAGTGCGACCGAGTAAGGATACCATCAGCTCAGTGCACAATGATATCCTCAAGTCCACGGTGCCTTGTGCTATCAACACAGTTCGACAGAAAGCGTACAGCGAAGTCAATGCACATCCCAGCGGTATGTATGCGGATACGAACACTGCAGTAGTGTCAGGGGATAGGCCTGCTTGAGGACTGGAATATGTACTTTAAGACAGATTGCAGTCTGCAGTTTGTACTTCGAACATGTACAGCCGGCGTGTATACGTATGATTTGCAGTACATCACTCAGTACTTTGATTCGTATTGTTGACGCGACATAACCATCAGCCCCTTCATTATACGGATCACATCTATACACCGCGTCGAATATTGTACATCTCGTGAGACTAGCTGATCACAGCTTAACTAGAATGCGCAAGTGCCTAAGAAGGTGTCACAGCTTCGGGTTTACAGGAGTGGTCCAATGCTGCCTACAAGTTACATGCTACGTTGTTAACACGCACTAGCCTACAATTGCATGTCTTCTATCGGCTTCCTACTTGCACTATAGCGAGTTTAGTTGATTCGAACTTGGCGATGGGCGATGTGTGCCATATATCATAAAGCCCAGCCAGACAAACACATCAGTGATTGGACAGTCGAGGTATCAACCTTGTAATGAGTTTTTGTAGGGAGTACGAGTATACAATATCAGCACCTACAATGTGCAAAGACATGGCACCAGTCCCTGGCACTAAGAAATTTTATACTTGCACAGAGAGCGTCGATTGTGTGTATCATTCCGCCACCATAAAGTCATCACACGCCCATTACGCCTCGGGCACGCTACTCTGCGCAGCTCAGAGCCTAGACGGGAGTGCAAGTACCCCTTAACCAAGTTACACACACTTCGTATGGATGATCTAGAGAAGTCCATACAAACCTTACAGAGATCCGTGGGTATGCGATTCAATCCGGACCCATAGCATCTGGCATAGTCCTCGTCGCTATGCGTCTCACACATAGCACCGAGGTTTTTCAAACTCAAACGGATATGCATGGTCAGGGATAACATTGCAGGATAGTATTGACAATGCTCGAGTCGATGCCCCTGGACAGGCCCGTACAGCAGGCCAATCAACCCATTCGATACCTCAAAGTAATGGTGGTAGAGAGATCCCCACTAACCAAACGGCACAAGCCATTCAAAAGGCGGTCAAGAAACCACGGGCACCCCGCAAACCTAAGCCGCCAAAGACAAAACAGCCTGCAGGTAGGTAAATGTAAGGGATGTATGCTGCCAACTGACTGAACACCGTCATTAGCCTGTAGGTAAGTAAATGTGAGGGATATATACTGCCAACTGACTCAACACCGTCATTCGCATGGACTGGGTACCAATTGGGTTTCGCGTGCAAGTGTGATCTGAGCTATTACACGCATTGAGTCGCATAGCCTTGGATCTGCAACCGGTCTTTTGCCACTGCGTTATTTCTCAAGTAGGTACCAATGTACCGGCAATCAATGGAGGAAATGCGCCCACTGATTCAGTTAGCGCCGCGACGGGTTCTGAAAATGCAGTAGCACCCGTTAAACCAGCCGGTAAAGTGGCCAAGAAGCCGCGAAGACCAAAACAGCCAAAGCCGAAGCAGGCCCCAGGTAGTGATTGTACACTATATCTCTATGCTAGAGCTCGGTCGGGCATAGATCTACTTCTGATTGATAGATAGATCTTTTTAAGATTAAAACTAATTCTGAGTTGGATCTTTGGTATTGGGCTTATCTTGCGGATGAACAGTGTAAGTGTCGAGACATTAACAGTCATGGTCAGTCCGAAGTCTCTGAGTGGTTTTACATATTAGCTAGATATACTCAACCGACCACTCCCAAAAGGCGCTGCAAAGAGCTTACGGACTGACGCACAGGCAGTGGGTACCGCTTCAGGGCCAGATGTGAGTTCCGAGGACCGCGAATTATTGAAGTTCACATCCGCAGATAAAGCGGGTGTAGACATTTCCAGCAGGTGTCCAGAAAAAACAGGTGAGGTGCACGGGTGGGTATCAGTGCTGCATGTCTGTTGATATGTCCTCAGGGCACTACAGGTGTGCCTGCCTTGAACGAACCATGAGCATTGCAGGAGACACCTATTCCTGTGACGAATCTGCAATTGAATTCATCTGATCCCCTGATCCCAGCTGACTTCTAGGCTCTCCAATTATTTTCTCCCAAGATGTCGACGCTGTGAATGGCACATCGGGTGAACTAAAGCGACCACGCGCAAGTGACCAGCCCACTGTGGTGAAGAGTGGCATCGTAGCAATATCACAGAGCGGTGTGGGCAGTGCCATTGGTCAGGTTGCTAAGCAACTGAAAAGAGCCAAAGTTGTGAAAAAAAAAGATGCCGGCAAGTCCCCTGGGAAAGTGGTTAAGACCAAGGCAAAAACGAAGCCTAAAAGTGTTGCGCTGACGGATGCTGAAGGTAGCGTGTGCGTACCACATAGACAGCAGAATTGGGTGCGAACGCAGATGCCACTGAAGCTTGCTATCTCGGTGATGCGATTGCATTTGACGGCGGAGGTACGTCAGTGCACGTTGTAGTACCAAAGTTAATACACCAAGGTGCATGGGTATTTATCGCACCCACTTATACATGCCGTTTATTTTTTGTTTTTTCAACGAAAACCCCTGCTGCGCCGTTCGTCGTTCTTAGTCCAAGCAAAGCTGTTGGAATATCTGCGCGTACAGAACAGGCCGTACAGCGCAACAGATGTCTACAACAACCTCGGCGGAACTCTTGGCAAGACGGCGGTATGTGCACCAATTCCTGGACATATGGTCATAAGACTAATAACCATATGTATCCGCAATGCGGCGAAGTAGTATCTTATTCTGATAAATTTATATCGCGCGTGCATATGACTATCGGAATGGAACCTTTTCCCCAGCGATGCCACTCCTGTACGTACACGGCACGAAGTCTATATATTTCCGCCTGTTTGTGGCGGCTGGAACCAGGCGACCGAAACACCCTCGATGCTACTACTGTCTTCAAAGCGAGCTGTATTTCCGATATATAGTACTCATTGCGAAATGGACTGTCGAGCGTACATATTCTCACTTTTCGGGTATATTAGGTAACGAAAGCGCTCGCTGAAATGGCCAGTACTGACGCCGGCATCACTGAAAAGGTGTACGGCAAGCAGAAGGTGTACTGCGTCAAGCAGGTACAATACACCGGCTGATGCGTGTGTGCGCGACTGATACGAATGTGCTGCCTTATGTCTACTCACGTACACGCCTAAATGCCTGTGTGTTGTGTGTTGTAATTTTTTATGCCTGTGTATCTTCGTGGATAGTCTGTGTCCATACGCGTGTGTGTCTTTACTGCCGCATGTGTATGTGTGCGTGCGAATGTGAGTGCCTATGTTGTTCTATAGTATTTCTTTCCGCAGCCATTTTCAGCCACAGGCGCCACAGATCGCTTACTAATCAATCATGCCAGCACTCAAGAGGCAACTCCGTTTTTGGGAACTTTTGATTCAATTTTCGTGGAGTTATCATACAGAGCGATGTTGCGATAGAGCCAGGGTTGCTGCAAACACTGATCGAAAAATTGGAGACACTCAAAATAGAGGTGGCTAACCAGACGGGTGAAAAGGTTACGAAAGAGAAAAGTAAGGATGTAGATAAGTCAGGAGAATTGTCTTCGACTTGCAGGGTCTACGTGCATGTTGTCGACTACTCTGCGGTTAGCATGGTTGTAAGGGCACATCGCATTTCGAGTCTGTTACGAGCTTTGCAGACCTTGGTCTTATTTAAGCTCAGTGCACTTGAGCGGTCGCTAGTAGATATTTGAACCGCACGTCGCGTGTGTACCAGGCACGTTGCTCATACTACCATTGGATTGCTATTTCACTTTTATAAACTTTTATAAACTTCGAAATAGACACTAATCACTTTCTGCTCAAACTTAACCGGACGATAGTCCGCGTCGAGTTGCTTTCCAAGCCAACCACCTCCCAGTTGGTGAGAGACGTATCGCAGCTGCAACACCGCAAGGCCACAGTAGAAGACGGGCTCAGGCGGTTATGTGAAAGTATGCCTGTTTTATCGCACAAATACCACCTACAGGTCTAGCTATACTAATAACAGGAATTATTGGGGATGTGCTAGTGGCGTGTTGTAAGATAAGCGTCTTGTGGGCTATACGGGCGATTGTTAGAATGCTTAATGAAGTACCGGCTGCACGGATTACAGGCACATCCTCATACACCGCTGACGACGTACTGAGAATCGCAACGGATGCCGCAGACGCAACCGCAAAACTACTCGAGAGAAAGCGTGAGGTTAGTCTATTTATGTAGCTGCAAAGAGGTGCTTATGACAACGCTCAAGGATGGGTAATGCACTCACATTCTGGCCTTTTTGGTACAATATAGTGCGTGATATAGTTCGCACGACTGTACGCATGAGGCACGTACAAGGATTGCTTACATAGCCACCTTTGCATACTATTCTATACTGTATTGCCACCGGATTAATGTGCGTCGTTGGTTCCGTAGGCGACGTCAGTGTATCCTCGTGACATTCAATCGATCACAATAGGAAAAACAGTACACCAATACTGAGCATAAGCCATTGGCGATGAAGGTTTCTGAAGTTTGATTCTCGCGTGAGAGACGCATGTACTCGAGCACCCAACTCTAGGAGTGTTGCATCAACCAATCAACGTCACCTAATACAAGGTTTTGCATCACATTCGAGCAGTGTAATAATATGGTGGACGTGATTCTGGAGGGGTATGAACAGAAGAGACAGTATCTAATTACGGAAATTGGGATCGAAACCGACGAGGACGCCGGATTTGTAGCAAATAGATGAACTTCGACGCCACAAGGTTTTCTTATACGTGCATTCAACACCTACCAATACGAAACTTCATCAAACGGGCATCTTTGAACACATACACACAAGTATATACGCTGCTAAAGTCATTTGCGACTGTTCGAAGACAGAAGTCAAGTCGCAGCAAGGGCGAGGCTTCGGCGCAAGCAGTCCACCCAATATGACCAAGAACGAGACAATTGTAGTACATATACCAATGCATGATGTGGGACAAGGCTAAGTATGAAAGCTCTAGAAAATATTCATACCCACGAGTAGACATACGGTTGTGATCTAAATGCCTGGGATGGTAACATAGTGACAGACTTGTAGGCACAAAACGGCCTTCATCGTTCTACATTTCCACGCAGTATATTGTACAGATTCTCGCAATATTAATAAAAGTGACTTTCAAGAAGCTTTTCAATGTTCGGTTCATGAGCTCGGCAAAAGATGAAGTTATAGAGCGAACATGGATTTTCGAGTGCATCTATGTGTACTTAAACATACATACACATAACTGGTACATACGACAATTGAACTTCCGAGTTTGCTGAAGGTGCAAAATGCCAAAGCATTTAAAAAAAAATACGCGCGCTTTTTAGGAGGTACCTATTTGTACACCAATCAAAACTCCGCCGATCGATTTTTTTTTTCCCTCTCTAAAAAAACTCTGCACAGATACACTGTGAAGTGGGAACCCTCCGATGCAATTGATCATGATGTCGGGTTCAGTCACAGTGGTAGACTGAGGGCCATGCACCCTCGCTACATAGTCCAAATAATTACAAATGTATTTTTTATTTAGCTACAGCTCGGTTGACACCGGCTTATGTATGTACATACCACTGCTCACCAGATTGGACGCCGAGCGACGACACGCCCTGACAGTCTGACACCAACTCACACTTGGTACATAGTAGCGCAGCTGGCTAGATACGATGGAGAATCTGAACGCCCATCAGCAGCAGGGTGACGATGATCAACTGGGGCGCACCGTGCAGGCAGCGTTTAAGGATTTCTTAGAACAGTTTGTGGATGAAGGACAGAAGGTGTTCGAGGATCAAAGAGAGCTGCTTAAGATTAATGATAGGAGTACATTCTTTGTTGATGTGGACTACGTCAGACGGCACAATGAGAACCTGTCCCAGGCTATCCGAGACGAGTATATGAGGTAGGAATGTTACAGTTGTGTATGTGTTATTTGTGCTTGTAGAAAACAAAGATGGAAACAGACTTCTTTCGTGGACTATTATACATGAGAAGAACGCGCAGACCCATAGACGGCTGATCGTATATCACATCCTGTCGAGGAGTAAGACTCCCATGTGATTGTACAAGCGTATTACCACAGAAAGATCCAGAAACACTTCCCTTAGTATTGCATATATATATATATAATATATATATATA